TTCCACCAAAAAAATTTAAAACAAAAGGAATTTAGAAAACTTGTAGGGTATTAAAAAACCAGAAGTGTTGCTGTGGGCCCACAGTAAACTATCTGAAACAGAAAACAAAGCATTCTTATTTACAATCTCCAGAAAAATTAAACAGAAAGTAATAAATATAATGGAAAAGGTAAATGATCTTTACAAAGAAAATAATAAAATATTGATGAAATAAATTGAAAAGAACACAAAATAGAAAGTCATCTATCCATGATATAGAAAACTCAATATTATTAAACATCTATAATGCCCAGAGAAATTTATGTATTTTGTGCAATCCCTATCAAAATAACAAAAGGCATTCTTCTCAGGAATAGAAAATACAGTTCTAAAATTTACATGTAAATACATAAAACCCCTAATAGCCAAAGCTATTTTGAACAAAAAGAACCAAATAAGGTGTATTATTTTACCTGACTTCAAAATATAATAGACATATGTAGTAATCAAAACATTATGGTATTGATATCAAAACAGACATATGGATCTATGGACTAATGGAACAGAACAGAGAGCATAGAAGTAAACCTGTGCACATGCAGCCAGCTGATTTTTTAAAAAAAGGTACTAAGAATACGCATTGCTGAAAAGACATTTTAAAAAATAAAACAATTTTGGAAAATTGATATCCACTTGCAGAAGAATGAAGCTAGACCCCCATTTTTCACTAGTTACAAAGATTTACTCAAAATAGGTTAAAGTTTAAATGTAGGAGCTAGAACTATTTAGCTGATTAACTATTAGAAGAAAATGTAGGCAAAAATGCTTTGGGACATAGGAGTGGGTAAAGATTTTTTAAAAAATAAGAACTGAAATTCAAAATGAAAGAAAAAAATGAGATTACATAAAACTAAAAGGCTATGCACAGCAAAGGGAAACTCAACAGAGTGAAAAGACACCCGAAGAATGGAAAAAATATTTACAATGTATACATATGACAAGGCGTTGATATCCCAAATATATAAGGAGCTGCTACAAAAATGTAATAACTAAAATACAAATGACCTGACTTAAAAATTGTTAATACATCTAAATAGACATTTCTCAATAAACAAATGCTGAACATCATTAACCATCAAAGAAATAAAGGTTTGAGGCCACAAATTTAACTTAATTCAAACATTAAGTAATATATATATATATATATATATATATATATATATATACTCAACATTTCCATTATAAAATAAATATCTGTTCCCTATGAAAACAAAAAATATGAACAATGAAAGGAAG